GGGTTTTTTTTTTTTTTTTTAGTTAATTACCTTAAACGCATACACTTGTGTTAAGGCATTTCTGTGGACATCTACAAAAGCTGAAAGTTGGATTTTGAAACTGCAGGGGAGGAAGACGGGATTTCTCGGGAATTACCTGGACTTGGATGCGCGTGTTCCCATTCTCATCTTCCTTGGTGTAGTTCATTTACACTCTCAATCATTAAAACTTTTAATAGCCCATATGTTCCTGTTACTAGCCACATGCTCTGTGCCTGCAGCTCCTCTGGACACAGGAGCCTTCTCCCCTGGGCAGCAGGGGACAGGGTTTGGCCAGCAATCCTGCACCCTCATTTTCCAGCCACGATGCTGCTCTATTTGGGGGGATTGTCACCTTCTCTGCTTTCTTCTTCTCCTTCCTGGCACACATCTGTTCCAAAAAAAAAACCCCACCATCACTTCAGTTTGTACTCAGATACTACCGGAGCTCCTCTGCTCAGGTCGCGGAGCTTGTCTTCTGACTGCCGCTTCATCGGTCAGTATTTCAGTGGGGTTTCTTCAGAAGACCTTAGCAGCTTTGCAAGTTGTTAGCTCACCGTTTCAAGTAAAGTTTTGCCCAACCCCACCAGGATAATTCCCCATTTCAAGCACAGCAGGCCTCTCACTGATCACAGGTGCAGCCACTCAAGGTATCATCTTCTCCACCATCTATCAAACATCCTCTGAAACAACCAAGGGGTCAAAAATTGACATTTTTAAGTATTTACTGGATTGGAGCCACGGTGCTTAGCTGGACCAAAGCAGCCTTCATTCTCTGCCAGCAGGGAGATGGAGACCTCTCCTGCCTTCCTGCCCGAGGAGCACCAAGGAGAAACTCCTGTGTGCGGGATTTACAGTGCAACAGGGAAGGCAGCTTTATTCTTTCTCTGATCTTCCTGAGGAACACTGACCTTGTTATTACTGATAAAAATTCAATTAGTGAATAAGCTTTAGACAAAAGCTTTTGTCTAAAAAAAAAAGGGAGGGGGATTGTAACTTTTGGGGCTTCCTTGTAGCATAGTTTCTCTCGCTCCTGCTCTTTTTAGGAGGATAAATACCCATTGCTGTGTATTTGCTCAAGGAGACCTCACTTACCATGAGCCCTCCTTCAAGAAGATGCTAAAGCACCTGCTTAACTTTCTGGTCATGAGCTGTTCCAGGGCTTAAATGCCGTTTTCCTTGTGCTTAAAGACTAGTATGTGCTTAACCCTGCTGATCTGGGCCAGGATGCTTCAGACCTTGCTGGGCTAAGCCCCACACGCTTCATTTTCGTGCTGGAATTAAATGCTGGGCGTGTGTTGGTGTGGGTCTTTGCAGCGTAGCCGAGGCAGTGGGTGTAGGACGGCTGGGATGGGTGCAGGAGTATGTGCAAAACAAGATGTTTGCTGTCACAGCCAATTCCCATCCCTGACAAAATAAGCTAAACCTGCCAGAGCGGGGTGGTCCCACAGGTTGTATTGCATCCCACTGCTAAGAGGGTGGATGTGGCTCTTCCTTCTCCCAAGGAATGAAAAGCAACATCCTCTTAACTCGCCGTAAACCCCAAGTGAAAGCAAAAGCCCTAATTTTGCATGCAAGCTGTCAGCCTGCCATGCCTTCATGCCGCATTATTCTTAGTGTGTAACAAATGCGTCCCTTCCCCTGCATCGCAGCATGCTCCTGCACATGGCTCTTCGGCAGAGAGGGGCAGTGGATGTGAAGACTTCAACCAGCTGCCAAGCAGCTGCAGGAACCTTTTTTGGTCACCCCACTCCCTTGCCACGTCTTCCCCCTTCCTGCCAGCGGGTGCGTTGGCGGGGGCCACCGCTGCTGAAGCAAGCGCCAGGGGTGAACCCAGCTCTGGAGCATTTCCCTGCAGAAAATACAGCAGACTCAGGCTGCAGAGGGGCTCCTCGTCTTGCTGTCAGGCGTTACCACAGTTTGGGCATCGAATTAGCTGGTCACGTCGGGGTTGCGGGTCTGTGCAGGGCGCAGTGGGTGGAAGAGCTGCGTGTCACGCTGCAGGATGGTGTAGGAGGTGTTTCTGGCATTTCAGGCAGTTCTTACCCTCCTCCCCCTTTTGGCTGCACTGCTGCCACCCGCACGCTTGCAGGAAAGAGCAGGCTGGCAGGAAGCTTGGGACGGCAGCAGCTCCCTGCCCACCCGTGACTAAGGGCCACGACCTCGAAGGCCAGCACCGAGACACCGACCTGTCTCCGTCCCCACCGGCATGAAGATGGAAATAAAGTGTCTGGCAGCAGCAGTCTGGCTCTCAGTGGCCTTCAGGCAGTGGGCGAGAGGTGGTATTTCCCCGCCGTGGCAAGGACTTCTTCATCATGTTGCTTTTTAAGTAGTTTCTTGGCATCCTTTTGAGGAGTGATGCACTTGGTTGCCATAGAGCAAACCCAGAAGCAGAAGAATGGCAGGAGGAATGGAAAGAAAAAGAATGCAAGATGACTTTTGGCGTTTTGGGTCCGTTTGAGCCTTTAATAGCACTGATGGCCCCTGGTGCAGAGCAGAGTGGGGAATGATGGGCCACGGGACTCCCTCTTGAGCAGGAGGCCAGGTGACCAGCTAAATGAATGTCTTGGAAAGGCCCTGAACCTGCTGATGGCTTTCACAGCTCTGAAGCGTGTTGGACAAAGCCTTCGTAGCCATTGGCTTAGTGTCATGGTTTTGTCCAAATGTGTCATGGTCCCTGGCATGGAGAAAAAACGATGGAGAAAACCTGGCATGGAGAAAACCGCATGTTCCTCGGTGTGGACCCTCCAGCAAAGTGACCTGTGCAATCCCAGCCTCATCAGTGGGATTTTAATTGCAGAGACATTTTGGAGCCTTTGTTTCCGACATGTACTCTAGCTGTGCATCCCAAATAAACTGATGCTAGGATTTTCCACACAAGCACTCGGGTGATACACCTGGCACACGGGGAATAGCCCAGAGGTTGAGATTTTCAACACTACATTCAAGACACTTGTTTCATGCAGGATATTTTGGGTGCCTTGTGTGTTGAAAAGCTCAGCTCCGGATGTTTCCATGTAGAGAAACGAGGACAGCGTGTCCTCGGGTCCTCTTCTTGCTGCTTTGCAAGAAACGGCTAGTGAGGGACAAGACTTGTCTTCTCCAGACCTTCCCGAGGGCACTCGACAGATGCTGCTGCAAGTCTTGTGTTTGGGATGAGATGTAAGGCGTAACACAACTGGTCCATGTTTCGTGAAGCTTAGCCTGTTTTCTCCCATTGTGCAAGTGTAATTTCAATATGAATAGTATCTTTTGCTCTTATGTTAAACTCTTACTGAGGTTATCAGATGAGGTATTCTTGTTCACAGCAGCTGGCTTGTGTTGCTCATAGGATTACGTGCTTTGTTGCTTTTGCCTCGGAGATTACATTTTCGGAATGAATCTATAAGGTTGTGTCCATCAAGGTGTATCTTTACATAAAATAATTTTGTAAATCAGTTTGTTGGACTCCTCCTAGAACTCAGTATAGGGGATGAAATTTATGAGATTAACGATAACAGAAAGGGAAGGTTTCATGCAAACCTTCCAGAAACGGTTGGAGGAGTTGTGTAAAGCCTGTTCCCTATTTTTAAGGTTTCTACCCAGCTCTGAACTTAAATCTCCTAAGTTTAGAGAACTGAAACGAATTATTAGTAAGTACTCCCTTGCTTTATGTTATTCCCGTCTTCAGGTAGTCATTTACAAACTGTCTGGCTTTTCTCTTTACAGGGTCGTGATTATTGTTCAGAAGAGGAGGATGTCACATAGTGCCAATTCTGCCACTCGCACCAGGAGTACTACTGTGTAAATAGATTACAACCCAGTCGAGACCTTTTGGAAGTCTTCTAGACCGAACAGCACTACATAACAGAAGAAGATCATTTCCACATTATATGCTCCATTCAGTTACAGTGTTTCTTAATGAACAGATGAGGAATATTGCTAAGAACTCGTAAGGAACTGTTTTTGTTGCTGCTAGTTAAAACTTGTTGCAACTTCTCACTTTTTTCTGTGTCCAGATATGCAGCAAATCCTTAAAGTTAATCCAAAAGACGTTGTTGATTTTATTGAGGCTTCTGGCCTGTTTTCTATCAGATGAGGTAGTGTTATACAAAGCTTCCATAAGTCAACATTCAAGCATCTAAGAAACACCCTTAAGCTGGCTGTCGGTCCGCGTTTGGGCCAGAGTGCTTATTAATGCTGGTGATTTCAAGCTTTGGAGATGGGATGTTTTTGCCATGGCAGGCCTTGTTTCTCTGCTGAGAAGAAGCTGAGAAACTATTATCCGTTAAAAGCATGTTATCACTGAAATACTGGAAGTGATGCAGGAGCAGGAATTTGTATTTTAAGAGGAAAAAGAGTTTCATTTAATAGGTATCTTAATCAAGGACTAAGCTTGCAGTATTGGCTTTGCTAAGCACGAATGGGAGTGTGATCACAATCATTTTGAATCTCTTTTTTTCTAAGAAAATAAACATTTTACTGTTTTTATGTATTCTTGTCTTTTACCATTCCTACAACACAATGTTTTAAGAGTCTGGGGCCAAGGAAGGCAAAACCAGCCCTCTGCATTGATGAATCTGTGGATCTAATCTCTTAAAGCAGCTCTGTGCCAACTGGGGGTATCTGTTGCATGTCCTGTAGAGTTTATTTTTCCATATTATACAGAGAGGACATTACCTTCTCAAAAGCAGATGTAATATTTTTAACAAATGCTGTCATGAGTAAAAAAAAAAAAAAAACCCTTAAGGAAAAAAAATACACCTTTTGTATTTATTATTTCAAAGGAGATTGTTACCTGTGCTGGTATTTCTTCCTGCTTTCACACCATATGAGGGCCAGCTTTGCACTGCATCCCATGGAGAAACGAGAAACTTTGTCAGGACATAGGTTTCTGTATTGTATTGATTTCATTGCTCTGATGTGTGTGATTTATGTGGAATAGACCATGAGATTGCATTAATAGCATCTTTTCCTGATGTGGCCGACACTTGAATGAGGCATTCATCCCAAAGCGCTTTAACATTGGTCATTTTTCACTGGACCTTCTGAAAATCAGATCCCTTTAAAGGGTTTCAAGTCCCTCAAAAATCACCCTGAGACTTCTGAAAATCTCTAAAATATTAGGGAATTTCTTGACTAAAGACGTTTCCTCCAATGTTCGCTCCGAGTGGGGCTGGACAGTCCATGTCAGAAGATTTTTGTTCCCTATCATCAGTGCTGTGCCATACCTAGAATATGTCCAAAAAAGTGCAACTTCCTCATGCTTCCTTCCCTGCACTGGATTTTCCTTTGGCTTTCGGGCAGTGGATGGCCGGTGGGGTGGGGAGGACCCACTGGGGAGAGAGACCCAGGAGTTACCCTTATTCGTGCGGGACTGGATGTAAGCACCTCCAGCAAGAGCAGCTTTCCAAGCAGCGTGTGTGAGGCTGCAGTACCAAGCTGTCTTCTTAAGGTAAAAGCTGTTTCTGAACACTGCAAACTGCTCAGTCCCCTGGTCTCCTGTCAATCTCAGTTGGAGTCGAGTGGTTGCTGTATCGTAGGACTGGGACAACTCAAGTGATGGTACCTAGCTTCAATAGCTTTCCATACAAACGCTCAGTGAAAGGGCGTATTCCACTGTGTGCATCTTTAGCCTGTTGATGGTCAAAAATTGCCAGCCAATTCTGGTTTTCCTAAATCCTTGCTGCATTTTGGCAGCTGCTTTGGCCATGCAGCTCTTCCCGAGCGTCCCAGTGTCCCTGGAGATGAGATTTCACTGCCTTCCTCCCATCACATCGTCCTTCTTAGGGCTGTTGGCATCTCTCAGTGCTACGGAGCCATTTGATCTGTTACGAATTCTTCAAGGTGATAACTCTGTCCTCTTGCATATGATTTTTTCCGTAATTTGTGTCAGCTTGCAAGCAGGTAGCCACTCTAAGGAGAGTCAAGAGACTGTGCATCTCAATTATTTAAACACTTTAATTAATAAAGAAAGAGTCCTGGGGCTTGATCCCGCAAATCCTTCTCTCAAAAGTGCTTTATAAAGCTTTTGCAAGTAGTACAAGAGTGATGGAACTGGGTCTGTCCTTTTGAAACATAGTTCATTTTCTACATGCTGAACATCTCGTGTATAAATTTCCCCATACAAACCCTGTGTTACAGACACATTGTCATCTTTCAATACACCAGCCTCCTTTTACATGGAGTTTCTTTCTGCCACCTATTAGTTTTAATATATTTTTTTCTTTTTTTCCTTGCTGCTGATGATGGCACCAAAGGTATGGGCTTTGGTGGAAGCTTTGTGAGAGAGGAAAAGCAATTCCCATCTTACCTGTGTGCTTAATGTGACCAGCAGCAAGTGCTTAATCTTCTGTATGAATTATAACCTCACTGATGGACCTTTAGATGACAGTATTTGTGAACGCCTGGGTAGACTGTCCTGCCGCTGGTTGTGGAAGCATGAAGATGGACAGGAGGTTTGGAGGGTGTCAATAGTTGTCTTTGGAGTTAACAGGCTCCAGGAGTGCCCCAGGCTGCTGGTGGGATTGGGGTGAGGGCAACAGGCTTTGATTTGCTCTACCCTTCTGCAAGAAACAGGAACAGAATTGAGGTTGGGGGGGGGGAGTGTTGCCTATTCATATGAAACCAACAAATCCTTGGCCATGGCATGTCTTGCTACCGTCACCACGTACCAGGCAGAACTCAGGAGCTTCCTGATGGTTTTCAGCTGACTGAGCTTCTTGGTCAGGCAGGAGACTTGCTCTTAAACTCTTTGGGATATGGAAAAGCAAAGATCAGCGCTAGTTACCTATGAAAAGGAGCCATGCTTACAGAAACAAAACTTAAACAGAGCAGAAACCTGTTTCTAGTCTTGAATGTCTGAAGTCTATGACATATAAGATGGTTTCTAAGCACTTCAGGCTTTGGGTTGACATCCTTCTCTCCACACCTCAGCCACTAAGAGCTGTCTGCTTCGCTTGTTAAGGCAGGATAACCATCTCCTCAAGCCTTGAGCAGCAACTTGCTGCAAAAACATATCCAGAGCAAGTGCAGGGACCTGACTGCAGGCATGTAACATTTGGGAAAGGGACAGGAACAACCGAACCCCCTTGTAAGAAGGTGCACGTGCCACAAGCAGACCCATGAGGTCACTTAGATGACTGTTGGTTTTTAACCTGCTTTATTTCTTCCACCTTTGCAAGTCCTAACAAATTTTGTTAGAAGTCTAAATATACACGGCAACTGAGGATCTATAAAAATATAAGCACATTACTGTGGAGTAAAATGCATCTCTCCTTGAAGCCATACCTCCACGTTGTTACTTTGCTCAAATATATTCAGCAGGGTGGAAAAGAAGAGGATGGGAAGAGAAGGAAAACTGCTTATATCTGATATGCTGTGCTTAGTTGTAAATGGGTTTTTCAAGGTTTCTTTTAAAAGAACTACTGAGAAAATTATTTGAGGCCAAACTTCTCTTGAGGAGGCTGATGCACTATTTAATAGGCTCGAAGTCTTATTCTGGGATCTTGGGATAAGATTGTGGTGAAGGGATTTTGCCGTCAACCTTCTTCCCTTGATGTGGGTTCTTCCTTCTGCTAAAGCCCTTTGAGCTACGCCAGTTTTCCTCCTCAGAGCCTTCCCCAAGCGTTAGCTCCAGGCAAGAGAGAGGAGAAGAGCTGGGGAGCAGCAAGAGTTGCCCAAGAGGCCAGCACCCATGCCTGGATTCAGCTTTGTGCTGTGGCCAGCGCAGGTAGAAGCCTCCTAAATACCAACACAAGGGACCCCCCCAAGGGATACTCATATCTTTCCAAGGGCTGCCTGGATGGATGCTCTGTCCCAGGCGGGCATGAAGCCAGCGCATCAGAACTGTGCCATATTGCTGCATCATCATTCACCTAATGAGCAGGGCTTGCTGAGGGCTGCCAAGATTGAACGTTGGTGCTCTCAGGGCAATTTGGGTGGTTTGATGCAGTGCCTGCAGGACATATTTGACCTGGTGAGGGACTCCTGGAAGAAAAAAAAAAAAAAAAAGTGTTTGTTGGCTATCTATCTGACACTAATTTTTGTCTCCCTCACTAGTAACTAGATAGGGACACATTTTGTGTAGTTTTGTGAGTTGTGGCAATGTCTCCTTCAGCCACTGCCTGTCTCTGTATTGTATCTATTGCAACACATACGCTTTGACCTAAAAAGATGATGCCTTTATTTTTTTTAATTATTGCGAGTTTCTCTTCGCCTGTGCCCCCTCCCAAACCCTTGCACCCTCCATACAGCATCCAGCTCACCAAGGGGGCAGGTCCAGTCGTGGTGGGCAGGAGGAGGCAGAGGCTTTACCCTCCTACCTGAAATGTGGTTGTGTGTGTTAGGATGATTCTCTAATGTGCTTGGGTTGCGACTGCGCTGGTCCAAGGAGGAGCCAGCTATTCTGTGTGCCGCTCTGGTTTGATTCTGTTTTGAAGGTTGGCATTTGGTATTTGTTTTTTTCAGGGGCAAGGGGAAATCCTGCTCTTGAATGCCAAGACCAACCCTCGGTGACAAGACATTGCTTTGCCTCGACGTGTTCACCCTGTAATCAAGAGCAGCATTTGACCTCAGGCGTGTCTTGAGTCACAGGAGTCTGCACCTAAATTAGATTAAAGAAACCCAAAACCATATTAGTGCTTTTTTCATCTCAGAAGGCTGTGGATCACTTCACATCATGCAGATGCTGACACTTGTACGTTTTTCCCTTGGGACCCCGGCAGAAGATGTTCTGGGCCAGGTCTCTGTGTGCAATACAAGGGACCAGGAGTGGTTTCTCCTCAGCGCCAGAACTTTGAGGAAACCGTTGAAGGACTTGAGCAAAGCCCCAGCCCGTCCCGGTTGGGAGCAAGGCTTCCCAGGAGCTCTGCGTGGTCAGATGGACTTGCTGAGCTACTGCGGGATTTTCCATGCTGTCCACGTAAATTAAGCTCTGTACGAACCGCTGGAGACCGTAGCTTGGCAACCTCTGGGCTTCTCTAAAATTTTTGCGGAGATTCCTACTTTGTCATGAAGAACTGTGCAGGGTATTAGAAGCTGTCTGGGCTTTTGCTGGTGTGGCTGGTGGTTTTTAGGACGTTGTCTTAGACTGCTGGCAACGTTCAAAATTCCTGTGATTATTCCTCCTAATCTCTTTTTGGACTTACTTACCTTTTAAAAATACACCTGGGCTGACTAGAGCAGGATCCACTTTGACTCCCCGTGAAGGACTCGTGCTTGCAGATGTTTTATTTGCCTGGTGCAAATAGATGTTACAGTATCGAGGGTAAAGAGCAGCCTGGAAGCCCTATAGACAGATGGAGCGGGTGAATGGGTAAACAGATATAACTGAGAAACCAGTCTGCAGACCTTGGCCAAATACTCTTGAAAAGGTTCATCAAAGCAGCCAGTTAATTATCTGACTACTAATACTGCTGTTCCCTGATTCCTATGAACCTTTCTCTGATAGTGGACTTCAGCCCCAAAACTATACCATCCAAAACTTAACATTAA